GATTTCACCAATTTTAGCAGTCTAGAAAATGTGAATATACAACAGTAAATAAAAGTTAACACGACCAAAGAACTGAGGAGACAATTCTTTCCTTGTTCAACCTGCCATCTCCCCAACTCCTGTCAAGATAAATGAGCGGAAGGTGGACAGGTTATGGCTTTACAATTTATAATCAAACCACAGACCTGGGATAAGGGCCCTTCAATTCATCCTCCGAACTGTGTAAAACATTAACTCTGTGGGAGATGCCAGAAGCTTTTAAAAAGGAAATATTCCAGGAGGGTAAGGACATTATAATCACAGTGTCTTCAACCTTTGCCTTTTTCCCCTGAACCCCTAAATTACTGACTCCTATGAACTGGGAAAACAGCACATCTATTTGGAGTAACACAATTTTTTCATGTACTTCTGCATCCATTTTCTCTTTCAGATAAACCTTGTAAAGTTAACCAAACACAAGGACTATCTGCACCTTTTAATATCTGACATCTTTCATCTCCCCAGTTGTTTTGACAGTGCAGTGGGTTTCCGCCTCAAATGCTGACAGGGAACGCACAATACTATTCCTACCGAAATAACATCCATCTAGTAACACTGTTTCTCAACACTGCCCCTCAACTTAGTCACACTGGGTGGCTTCTGACTAACAGCATGAACCCTAGGGCTTCTGCTAGAGTTAACCGTCACAGTAGGGTCCAGGACAAGGCAGCTCCCATTGTTCACCTTGGGCCCCAAGAAGCAGCTGCCCCAGTTATGGATGGCATTGTTCCTTGAAGGGAGGAATTTATGTATAATTCAAAATTCCATGCACCACCCTGACCCAGGTCTTGGCATCTCTCCTATACTTATCCTACAGTGTTCACCTGGTGCTGGTTAAATGCAGTGCTTCACAATCTTGAGAACATCAGAATCATCTGTGAAACTTTCAAAAGACACAGGTTCAAAGATTTATTCAGTAGGCCTAAGAATAGTGTCCCTGAATTTCCAATTAAAAAAAAAGTTCCACAGGTGACTCCATTGAGAATCTCAGGTTTAAGAAAACTCTCTTCTCTAAACCACACTTCAACTAATTTATTTTACGTAAATAAATAATAGAGCCAGATTTGGGGTTGGGGGAGGGAGGTAGAAGAGACTTTCTTCATTAGGCCTCTAAGAGATTTAAATCCTAAATAGGAAACAGGCACTTCATTTTCAGTCTGACTGGAAAAAAATAATTTCTACCATTACAGCTATCCTTCATATCATCCCAGCCACATCCATGTTTATTAGCTGTTTAAAATTTTTTTCTGTATTTTATGATATTTTGAAATCTTAAAAATCTTGCTGGCAAGGAGACTGCCTCTCCCAGGGCTAATTTCTCAACCATCCCTTTTATCTAACTCTCACCAAGCCAGTATTTCTCCTGCCCTAAATCATGCAAGGCCAGGTACCAAGCAACTAGAGACCACCCAAAGGCAAAGCCTGATGGAATTATTTAAATTATCCAATCCTAAAATGTTTACTCCGCCCTGACTTGCTATTCCTGAGGAACCCCATAAAGGCTCTGGCCTAGACTTTCTCCTTGTTTCTACCTTTTCCTTCTAACCAAAAGGTGATGCCTCCCTTGTGGCTCTGAATGTGGTGGCATGCCTCCTTTTCTTGAGAAATGTAAGTAAGAAATGGTTTCAGGCCAGGCGCGGTGGCTCACGCCAGTAATCCCAGCCCTTTGGGAGGTCCAGGCAGGAAGATCACCTGAGGTCAGAAGTTCGAGACCAGCCTGCCCAACATGGTGAAACCCCATCTCTACTAAAAATACAAAAAATTATGCTGGGTGCGGTGGCTCACGCCTGTAATCCCAGCACTCTGGGAGGCCAAGGCGGGCAAATCACCAGGTCAGGAGATCAAGACCGTCCTGGCTAACACAGTGAAACCCTGTCTCTACTAAAAATACAAAAAATTAGCCGGGCATGGTGGCGGGCACCTGTACTCCCAGGTATTCGGGAGGCTGCGGCAGGAGAATGGTGTGAACCCAGGAGGCGGAGCTTGCAGTGAGCCGAGATCGCACCAGTGCATTCCAGTCTAGGAGACAGAGCTAGACTTTGTCTCCAAAAAAAAAAAAAAAAAAAAAAAAAAAAAAAAAATATATATATATATATACACACACACACACACACACACACACACACACACACACACACACACACACACCCCAAAGCCAGGCGCGGTGGCTCAAACCTGTAATCCCAGCACTTTGGGAGGCCGAGATGGGCGGATCACGAGGTCAGGAGATCGAGACCATCCTGGCTAACGCGGTGAAACCCCATCTCTACTAAAAAAAAAAACCCAAAAAACTAGCTGGGCGGGGTGGCGGGCGCCTGTAGTCCCAGCTACTCGGGAGGCTGAGGCAGGAGAATGGCGTGAACCCGGGAGGCGGAGCTTGCAGTGAGCTGAGATCCGGCCACTGCACTCCAGCCTGGGCGACAGAGCAAGACTCTGTCTCAAAAAAAAAAAAAAAAAAAAAAAAAAAAAAAAAAATTAGCCAGGTGCGGTTATGGGCGCCTGTAATCCCAGCTAAATGGGAGGCTGAAGCAGGAGAATCGTTCCAGGGAGGTGGAGGTTGCACACACCACTGCGCTCCAGCCTGGGCAACAAGAGCCAAACTCCATTGAGAAGCAAGGGAAGCAAGGGAAGGAAGGGAGGAAGGAATTATTTCAACAGCACTGGCTTCTCCACGTTGTCACTCAGTCTCCTCTATAAAGTCCCAAGACACCCTGCCCTACCCATGCCTCTGGGCTGCTTATCATTCTTATTCTGTCTACTTTATCCAACTGGAAGCCGTATTACAAACAAACTTAGATTTCCAAGCCAAAGAGCAAGTAAACACCTCCTACATCCTTCATCAAGGAAAACCTCTTGGAAGGTTTTGTGTTTTTTTTTGTTTGTTTGTTTTGTTTTTTGAGACGGAGTCTCGCTCTGTCGCCCAAGCTGGAGTGCAGTGGCGCGATCTCGGCTCACTGCAAGCTCCGTCTCCTGGGTTTACGCCATTCTCCTGCCTCAGCCTCCTGAGTAGCTGGGACTACAGGCGCCCGCCACCGCGCCCGGCTAATTTTTTGTATTTTTAGTAGAGACGGGGTTTCACCGTGGTCTCGATCTCCTGACCTTGTGATCCGCCCGCCTCGGCCTCCCAAAGTGCTGGGATTACAGGCGTGAGCCACCGCGCCCGGCCGGTTTTGTGTTTTTTGTTTGTTTGTTTGTTTTTGTTTTTTGTTTTGAGACGGAGTCTCGCTCTGTCGCCCAGGCTGGAGTGCAGTGGTGCGATCTCGGCTCACTGCAAGCTCCGCCTCCTGGGTTCACGGCATTCTCCTGCCTCAGCCTCCCGAGAAGCTGGGACTACAGGCGCCCGCCACCTCGCCCGGCTAGTTTTTTGTATTTTTTAGTAGAGGCAGGGTTTCACTGTGTTAACCAGGATGGTCTCGATCTCCTGACCTCGTGATCCGCCCGTCTCGGCCTCCCAAAGTGCTGGGATTACAGGCTTGAGCCACCGCGCCCGGCCTCTTGGAAGGTTTTGAAGCTCAACATTCAGAATTAAATGTAGTCTTACCCAGTAATTCCACTCCTAGAACACAAAAACTTGTGCTAAGAACACCAATGTTCATAGTAGCATTATTTCTAACAGCCAAAAAGTAAAACATCCATATGCCCATCACCTGATAAACGGATAAACAAAACATGGTCTATCCATACACGTGATTATGTAGCCATGAAAAGGCATGACGTACTGATTCATGCTACCTGGATGAACCTTGAAAACATGCTTAATAAAAGCCCAGCATAGAAGGCCAAGTATCACATCATTCCATTTACATAAAACGTACTGAATAGGCAAAACCACAGAGACAGAAAGCCGATTAGTGATTGCCAGGAGATGGGGTCGAGGGAATTGGGGAGTGACTACTAATGGGTATGGCAGGTTCCATTTGGGGTTTTACAACATTCTGGAATTAGCGATGATGGCTGCAAATCCTGTGAATGTACTGAAAACCACTGAAAGTATACTTCAAGTGTGAATTTTATGATATTTGTATCTTTTAAAAAACATATTGTTTGCCCTGCAAACTGATTCCTTTACACTTCTCCTGTGTTATTTCAGTGACTGGAAGCACACTACTCAGATGCTAAGGTCAGAAACCGGCAAATCGTTAACAATTGGGTCATGACTATGCTCGATATTTCTCCATGCTTTTCGCTCCACTTCCTAATTCGGGCCACCCCCACTTTTCATCTAACTTATGTAATAGCCTCCTAATGGATGTCCTGGCCTCATCTGTTCTCACTGTAATTAGGCCTTTAAAAACACAATCTTACGCCGGGCGTGGCGGCTCACACCTGTAATCTCAGCGCTTTGGGAAACCCAGGCGGGAGGATCTCTTGAGGCCAGGGTTCGAGACCAGCCTGGGCAACATAGTGAGACCTCCCGTCTCTACTTAAAAAAAAAAAAAAAAAGCCAGGAGCGGTGGCTCACGCCTGTAATCCCAACACTTTGGGAGGCCAAGGCGGGCGGATCACCTGAGGTCAGGAGTTGGAGACAAGCCTGGGCAACACGGTGAAAGCCAGTCTCTACTAAAAACACCGCCTATAATCCCAGCTACTTGGGAAGGTAAGGCACAAGAATCGCTCGAATCCGGGAGACAGAGGTTGCAGTGAGCCGAGATAGCACCACTGCACCCCAGCCTGGGAAACAAGAGCAAAACTCGTCTCAAAAAATAACAAACAAACAACAACAAAAAACCTTCAATGGCTCCCGACGACCCCAAGTTGAAGCTCAAAGCCTTAATACGATGTGTAAAGTCCCTCAAATGCCAAGCCGTGGCAAACCTCTGCCACCTTTCCCTCAGGCGCTAGCTGGCTTCACCCTAGCCCTGCTCGGGCATCCCCTCCAGGCCGCTGCAGCCCGGTATAATCCCCTCTCCACGCAGCTAACCCTCCCCGACCTCCAGGCCTCGACTCTCAAGCCACCCCACCTGAGAGGAAGATTCCCGGGCCCCCAGGCCAGATTAGGTGCCTCTCCCGCTTCCCCTCACCCGGTCCACTCTCCGCTCCACAGGCAGGTATGCCCACAGGGGGCCGCCATTGTATCCGCGAACATTTCCTGAGCGAGCTGGGGAGGAACCAGACTTTATCTCAATGCTGCCACAGTGCCCTAAACTTGCCCTAACTCTTTATCAAAACTAATAGACTCCATCTGCGGCAAGCGCCGCTTCCGCCTCGCCCCGCCTCCTTCCGACCGGAAGCGCTGGCCGCCGCGCGCCGCGCCCGGAGCCGCAGAGGAAGACGGGAAGTGAGGCTGCCGCACCACCGCGCGCGCCCGCTCTGCGCCTGCGCGCAGGCAATTCTCCGCGGGGGCGCGGGCGGCGCATGCGCAGGCGCGTGAGTCTCCGTTAAGAAGGTGCCGCGGCGCCGCCGGAGGTAGGAGGAGCCGGGCTGTGGGGTTGGGAGTCTGCACCCGGGAGGTGGAGGTCCTGTCACCTCGAGCCGTTCTCGCTCTTCTTAGGGAGAAGAGCCTTTCTCTCCCGTCTCCCTCGCTGACTCCGTGGCCTCTGCAGGCCCGCAGCCCCGACGGAGAGGCAGGAGCTGCGCTCGGGTGGAGAGGGGCCGGGGCCCGCCTGGAGGGAGGAGGGTGGCTGATCTATATCCCCACGGCGGTCTCGGTCTGGGCCAGTCCGGGGATCGGGGTTCTCCGTCTGACTTTAGAGCCGTTAGAGTCTTTGGCAGCCCTTTTCCCAGGCAGGGAATCCCTCAGCCCCTTTCCGTAGGTCGCCGGGTTGGGGGAAGCGGGAGGGTCCGCCCCTCACCGATCCATTCATTCATCCCGCTCCTGCTGTGAGCCGTGCGCTGCGGTAGGTAAGAAGCGAAGAGGCACAAGTCCCCTTCCCTCTGGAAACCTGTAGGCTTGCAGGATCCGTTATGTCATTCAGTAAATATTGATTGGGCACCTACAGGAGGAGATAGACTGTTGTGAGGTTCATATCTACAGAGATGCAGAGATCAACACAGTTGTGGAGGGTGGCATTTGTTCCAGCCGCTCCCCACATCCAACACGATAAAATTCACTTTGCCTAGCCTGACCTTCCAGGCCCTTGTGAGCCGATCCCTGCCTCTCCCCGCAGCCTTTTCTCCTACACCTTTCTCTCTACTCCCATTATACCAAACTCTTTGCAATTCATGAATTCAACAAGTAGTTGTCGAGCACTTCAAGTCAGGCACTGGATCAGCCAAAGAGGATGCAAAGTAAAATAGATGGATCTCTACCCTCCTGAAGTGTTGAGTATAATGGGGGACAGATAATAAGCCGATGAATAAAGATACAAGAGCGGATAGTTTGGAACGACGCTTCCTGGGTTTGATCCTAGCCCTGCCACTTTGAAAGCTATTCCTGAACTAGCTTTGAGCCAGTTCCTTATTCTGCTTGCGCGTTTCCTTGCTGTAAAGAGAGGATGACAGGAGATTCCACCATATAGGTTTCTTGTAAGGATTAAATGAGTTTGACTTGATAAACAATTGGAACAGAGCTTGGCACACAGTAAGCATTCAATAGATATTATCTGTTTCATATGATTATAACCTATGACAGATGCCATTGTGAAAACGGTGGACGATGATAGGGATGCGGATGGAGAGGGTCCATAAAGGATTAGAGGACACTTCTCTAAGGGGAAAACACAGAAGAGAATGAGCCAGCCATACAAAGTAGATTCTAGGTAGGAGTATTTTCAGCTCTGGAAAACAAAATGATTAATCAGATTCTTTGGACAGTGGAGATTGCATTATTGTATTTGAAAGGAATAAGTTTTTGCCATTGGGTCATTCAGTTTTCATTTTTGAACCACACTAAGCATGCGCCAAAGTAAAGAGCCATGCCCACAAGGCCCAACCTTTGTATAGAGGCGACATTCCAGTCATCCAGGTTTGGAGAGCCTTGCTGGGTTGAGAAGATAAGGAAAAGTGACCTTTTGTCTCCTGAGTGTTCATGAGAATATAGTTTCTCTTCCTGTCTCTTATGTTCCAGTATTTACAGAAACAGCCTCTTTAACAGCCAGGGGTCTTAAATCAGTGTAGGAGATAGTTTTCCGAGATTTGGGGATCATCCTGTTTCTATGGTGACTGCCTTTCATGTCCGATTACACTTACATGCTTTTGGTTTTCCACAGATGTGAAATTAAGTGAACCATATATGTTTCATCATCGTGGAGATCTTGGAGAATTATCTGAGCACCAGGTTCATATGTATTCAATCTAGAGGCATCTATTGGACAACAAAACACTCTTTTTCAATTGTGGACTTTATTTATTTATTATTATTATTTTTTGAGACAGAGTTTTGCTCTCATTGCCCAGGTTGGAGTGCAGTGGCACGATCTCAACTCATTGCAATCTCCGTCTCCCAGGTTGAAGGGATTCTCTTGCCTCTGCCTCCCGAGTAGCTGGGATTACAGGCGTCTGCCAGCACACCTGGCCAATTTTTTGTATTTTCAGTTGAAACGAGGTTTCACCATATTGGCCAGGCTGGTCTTGAACTTCTGACCTCAGATGATCCACCCCCATTGTCCTCCAAAAGTGCTGGGATTACAAGCGTGAGCCACCGCACCCGGCCCAGTTGTGGACTTCAACAGAGGGAAGCTTTAAACATGTTTAACCACCGGCCCAATTTGAACAAAGATACTTCAGTCATTATAGAGAGGAAAACAGTACTTTTTGTTCAATTGTGCAAACTCTCCAAGTATCTATTTGAGAAGTAGAGAGGAACCCTAATGAAACTGTGAGTGTGAATGAGGCTCAGCTAGGCTTCTACTTGGGTTCACTTTCTCATCTGTCTGCATGTCCCGGGATTGACCCTCGCTCCTCTGAAGACCAGCCTGAAAGCCTTAAAACTGGTCAGTGATGGATGAGTCTGATGAGGACTTTAAAGAACTCTGCGCTAGCTTTTTCCAAAGGGTGAAAAAACATGGAATCAAGGAAGTGTCAGGAGAAAGGAAGACACAAAACGCCTCCTCAAACGGCACTCAGGTAAGACGCAAATTGAAAAGGACCAAACAAACTGCTACCAAGACCAAAACCCTTCAAGGCCCTGCAGAGAAGAAACCTCCATCTGGCAGCCAGGCCCCTAGGACTAAAAAGCAAGGGGTAACCAAATGGCAAGCAAGTGAACCGGCCCTCTCTGTGAATGGGGAGGCGGGTGTGCTCGCCTCTGCTCCAGATCAACCTGTGCTCTGGGAAACAGCACAAAACACCCAGACGGGTAACCGGCAAGAACCATCGCCAAACCTTTCCAAAGAGGAAACCACAGGTAATTTGTACTCTTTTAAACCGGGGGCTGGAAAACTTTATGGAAAGAGCCAGATTGTAAATATTTTGGCTTTGTAGGCCATACAGACTCTGTCGCAACTCTGCTGTCATAGTGAGAAAGCAGGCGTGGACAATATGTAAATGAACAGGCATGGCCATATGCCAGTAAAACTTTATTTACAAAAATAGGCAGCCAGCCACATGACCATAGTTTGCTAACTCTTGGTTTATTTTTAATTTTTTTTTTAATTTTTAAATTAAAAAAAAAAAAATTTAGAGCTGGAGGTCTCACTATGTTGCCCAGGCTGGTCTTGAACTCCTGGGCTCAAGCAATCCTCATGCCTCAGCCTCTCAAAGTGCTGGGATTACAGGCGTGAGCCACTGCGCCCGGTTGACTCCTGGTTTAAACAACAGTCAAGAAAAATATAACCCCTGTGTGAATTGCTCACATGGTTATGTTTGGAGTCCTCTGCTCTTTGAGAATTTCCTATGAAATTCTGTTATGTGGTTGACATGAGTTACACAAACAACACAATAATGTTGCTTCTCTTGTTTTCTTGAATTTATTCCAAAGTGGGTAAGTTGGACGGGGTCAGCCAATTTGGAGAGGCTGCTGAGAGGGCCGCATGAGGGCGCTGTGTGGGCTCAAGTCCCAGGAGAATCTTCAGGTTTTTTGTTTCTCTCTCAGAAGACCTTTTAATCTTTTCCTTTGTTATTTTTACTGATTTATTTCCTTACTTAGTTTTTAGAGACAGGATCTTGGTCTGTCACCCAGGCTGGAGTGCAGTGGCGCTATCATAGCTCACTGCAGCCTTGACCTCCCAGGTTCAAGCAGTCCTCCCTCCCTCAGCCTCCCGAGTAGCTGGGACCACAGGCACCCGCCACCGCACCTGGATAATTTTTTAACAGTTTGTTTACAGCAGTTTTCTTGCCCTGTTGCCCTTGATATACTGAGCCATATGCTTAGTACACATTCTTCATGCAAAACTGAAAACCAGCCTTGCATGTATAATACACCATGGGCTCTCTGAGCTCCTGAGTTCTGTTTCTCAATTTTCCTTGCCCTGACTTCCTGATCTTAATAACCTCTCGGTAGAGTGGTTAGAGTGGTGGTAGAGTCTCAGGCCGCAGAGACTGCTGGAAGGCGTCAACAGTGTTGCCTCACCAACTTTACTGGTCTCTCGTGCTCTTTTCCAGTCAGATGAAATCTATGCATGGTTCCCCCAAAACACGTATCCATGCGCACACCTGCAGAACTGGCATACAACTTCATGGGGTTCCTGGATCCCCACTGAAGATCTGTGGATCCCAAGTTAAAGAAGAACTCATCTAGGACATAAACCTTTGTCGTTAATATTTCTTTAATAATAGCTTTATTGGGGTATAATTGACATTCCATAAAATTCACCCTTTAAAAGGGTATGGCTCAGTGGTTTTTAGTATATTCACAGAGTTGTCCAACTCCACCACTACCTAACTTGAGAACAGTTTTATCCTAAAACTAAACCCCGTGCTCATTAGCAGTCACATCCCATTCCCCTCCTGTCATTGATATTTATGTCTGTATTGCCATAAACAAAGAGGTTACCAACAAGCAACCAGTCCTCTTCACGTTTGTGAGTCAAACCTAAACTAGTTGATAAAGGACGCCTGAAACTTGCGTCTAACCTGTATCTGGTGGAAAAGTCTTTTATTTCTCCAGCTACAACAGATGGTTGTGAATATTTCCCTCCTTGCCAGAGAATGCGCCTAACAGCGACTCTCAGCCTCCTCCTTCCTGTTTGACAACAGCAGTGCCAAGTCCCTCCAAACCCCGCACAGCACAATTGGTCCTACAGCGAATGCAGCAGTTCAAGAGAGCAGACCCCGAGCGTTTGAGACATGCTTCAGAAGAGTGCTCCCTCGAGGCTGCACAGGAAGAAAACGTCCCAAAGGATCCTCAAGAGGAGATGATGGCGAGGAATGG